TGTTTCAGTATGACAACAGTTTCATAAGCTTTTTTTTAGGAACAACAACAGCAACAACAATAACAAGAAAAAAAACAAGCCATAAATCGAGTCATTTTTCAAATACTTGTGTGGAAACAGCAGATAGGTAGATTACAGTAATGTAAGGAAGCCTGTGCTACAGGCCTCAGATATTCTCTGATGACATTTGTAGCCTTTGAATTTGTAGGAGGTAAGAGTCTGTTTATCATTCTAAATGCTTCACGTGGCAGTCACAAGGATTTTATGTAAAATACTGAGATGAGAAGTAAGTTGTTAATGAAGGACTAAAGGAAACTCAAGATAATTCTGCTTTAAATCTGCAACATTCTATGTTCACTCAAAGAAGTTTTAATCAGTTAACTAGACCTATTTAATGATTAAACAGATGTGGATTTTCTTTCCCCAGGGACCATTAGTTCATCCTAACTCTATATTTTCAGGTTTCTGGACTTACTATAGAAAATAAGCACCTTTTTAAAAATTGAATGATGTACAATTGAGGTCTTAGAAGTGTTATAATAACACATGAATGATAGAATTTATTTATTCAATATTTTATAGATGTTTCTGGTATGTCTAGATATGCTAATTTGTCAATTACTTAAATTAAAATATATCTAATGAAATATAAATTAGTGTATCTTTTATGAAACAGTGAACTGTAATGCAATAGTTATGCCTATAAAAGCTAAGTGAAAACCAAGCTCTCAGCAAATTACCTAATTAAGAAGAAGCATGACCATCTCCTATGAGCCAGGCATGTTCTCCCTGTCTCTAAAGGTCAGGACACATTTGCATAAATATTCACATTCCGTCAAATAGTATTTATCTTGTCAAGTTATAAAAAAAAATTGCTGCAAAGTTGCTTAGTATTTGTTGGAGCATCTAAGCCTCAGAGAAAACGTTAAAAAAAAAATTAATCTGTCTGACTCAGCATCTGTGTGGAGTATTTAAAAGGAATACACGCCACTGTTTACAAGCATATATCATTAATAGTGTTAAGGATTGGTGCTTATCCATGGGCTGGGTTTTAAGTTGGATAGGTTATTGGTTTTCCATTCTTTCAGTCTCTCCTCCCTCCCCTGTTTCTCCATTTCTTATATATAGGATACATTTTGTGTTAGAAGTTTTGTGGGTGGGTTGTCTCTATTGCTCTGCTGGGGCTTCTGTCTGGCCTCATGACATTGCCTCTTCAGGTTCCATATACTCAATGTAGTATGTTACAGCTGAGATCAATTTCACTGATTCTTGGGTACCTCCCTTATTCCACATTTCTGTCTCATTCCCAAGATGCCTCCACCACCACACCACCATCAGTTACAGATTTCCATTCACTTTCATGTCTATCTATCCATCTCTTGTGTCTTTTGCTAAACCTGATTTTCAATTCCTATTTCCTTCTCCATCTGCCCTTCATCTGAGTTCCCTTCACCATCTGCCTCTATGACTAATTATTTATCCTTCTAAATGAGACTCAAACATCCTCACTTAGGCCTTCCTTTTTGTTTAGCTTGTTTGGTTCTGTGGAGTGAAACATGGTACCTTTATTTTAAGACCTGTAATTGAGTTAACTTGTGGGTTCTCTTCACTAGATGGAAGGAATGATTTGCCAAAGACATTTTTCTTAGAAATTCTCTAAATAAGCAATTTATAAATCTTCCCAAAACCAATTCAATACTTTTCAATTTCTTGAGTATTAAGCAATTAAATATGAGAAATTCATTTAAGGAAGAAAATGTAACTTTCAAGATCAGAAGCGTGTAAACTTTCTTCTCATCAGAAGTTCAGTATATTCCAAAAGAAAAACAGATCAATAAAAGTCTTCTCAGCTCTCTGGAAAACTTGAGGGATGTTTTCTTCCTCCTGTTTGAATCTCTGTGTTAGATGTTATTTAGATCATTTTAGTCCTGCAACATTTACTCTAAAAGACACCAGAAAACTGTACTATGCATTGTTATTCATATTCTGTACACATCTATATTATATGAGTATGCATTTGTGTACATGTGTGTGGAAGTGTTTATGCATGTGTACATATCTGTGGTTGCAGAGTCCTGTGCATACACTTGTGAATGTCAGCAATCAAAATTAGCTATCTTCTATCATTCTTCATTTTATATTTTGAGACGGAGTCTCTCATTGTCCTTGGAGCTCACTAAGTTCTTAGGTAGCCTAGTCAGCAAGCTGTGGAGATTTCATAGTGAGCCTTCATAATCCTGCTTTTCCCATCTCCCCAGTTCTGCGATTCCAGATGGTTGCCACCACACCAAATTGTATGTGTGCTAAAATCTGAACTCATTTCTTTATGTTTGCACAGTAAAAGCTTTACCTAAAGTGCCATTTTCTAGCCTCTATGTCTTGTATTGCTCAGATTGTTAGCTATATAAGAGTTTTCTCTTACAGTGATGTTCAGAAGTCCAAAAAAAAAAAAAAAGATCCTGGTATTGGGTTGTGAACTGTGAGACTGTGTTTGACTCTTTCTCATCAGTTTTTCACTCCTACTGAAATCTCCTCATTGGTTGAGTCCTTCATCGAAGCAAGACCTCTTGAAAGTAACTGTGAGTGAAAAACTCATTTAACAAATGATGTTCACTGAAAAATATGGTGAAAAATAAATGACTAAATAAAATGTGATGAAATATATAAGGTTGAATCCAATTCTTTCTAAAACATATCACAAGATTAAAGCACAGTGTACTGGTCATCAACTTGACACATCCTATAGTCATTTGGGAAGAGGGAACTTCAGTAAGAAAAAGCCTCCATCGTACTTGCCTGTAGTTAAGCCTGTGAATTATTTCCTTGATTAATGATTGATGTATGAGGGCTCAGTACACTGTGGTGGCTCCCTTGGACCTGGGGTGTATATGATAGTTAGTAAGACAAGGAAAGAATGCCGGTAAGCAGCAATACTTAACTGCTTATATAATTTGGACCGGCAGGAGATTCCCAAGGTTTTGGTGGGCCAGATAACTTGGTGTATGAAGTAAACCTTAACTCAAACAAGGTAGAGAATGCTGCCCCCTAGAGAGAGAGAGAGAGACATGCACCAACTTAAAAAGAGAAGATGAAGATGTAAAAAGCGAGGCAACAAGTACCTTCTCTTTTTTTCAAGCTCAAAAGTTGATGAGTAACTCTGCATGAGCTACCTTGTCAGAGCTCTACATGCTGAATAAATAGAGGAGGCCATTAAACAACAAACTTTGATGTAAATGAGATTCCCAATTCAGTAGATATGAGGAATGAATCCTTTCCTTGACTATGTGAACTTGAAATTATCCTTTCTTTAAACCTAGCTGTCAGGTTAGATCCCAGTGCCCACACATGAAATCTTTGATAGCCAACTTCTGAAAAACTTGACTTGGTCAGAAGCACATAGTGAAAAGGATATTAACACTCAGATTTCAATGCACAAGAACTGTGAGCTTATTTCTGTTATTTGGCATGCCTCATTGAGGAAAATTTAGTATATAGAAAATTAGATATAATGTACCACCTCTGGAAATATTGCTAAGTCCAAATAGACATTAGAATTAGATAGTTGTCTTTTGTGATGGTTTGTATATACTTGACCCAGGGAGTGGCAATATATTTGGAGCTGTGGTCTTGTTCGAGTAGGTGTGTCACTGTGGATGTGGGTTTAAGTCCCTCATCCTAGCTGCCTGGAACTCAGTATTCTGCTAGTAGCCTTCAGATGAAGATGTAGAACTCTCAGCTCTTCCTGTATGATGATGTTCCATGTTCCTAGATGTTGTCATGTTCCCACCTTAATGATAATGGACTGAAACTCTGAACCTGTCTGTAAGCCAGGCCTAATTAAGTGTTGTTTTTATAAGGGTTGCCTTGGTCGTGTTGTACGTTTACAGGAGTAAAACCCTAACTAAGATACTTCTCTTCCATCATCAAGTAACCACGAAGCCCAACTACCAGAGTTTAGATACTGAGTTCAGGACTCATTGATTTCATGGCTCTGGAAGCTGTTTAGCATGTGCCCCAGTTTCTTCATACATGAAATGAGAACAATGGCAAGTCCTACTTGTCCTCATCAGTTTTAACTCTCACTTATCATGTTTAGAAGGATCTGAGGAGTAATTCTTCATTGTGGTCCTATTCAGATTAGGTTTTTCTGTTGCCTTTCATGTAGAGATAGGTTGTCTTTATTTTTCAAGTTTGTAGATTATCTCAGGGACCTGTGAACCTGTCATTCTCTGATTCAGTTGTCAAGACTATAAAAGAAGGATAGGTAAGGTTTATATGAGCATAGGAGTAAGATAACAAGCATGGTTTGTGTTTCATGTTTCTATTTTAGGTTTCCAGAACTGAGGTTTCAAGCATTTTCTACTATGACAGATTTTAAATATGGGCCTGTAGAATCAAATTCAAATCCTCATGTTTGCAAGACAAGCACCTTATCAAATAAGCCATTTTTTCATTACTCCCATTTCACATTTGAATGATATATAGCTAAATAGAAATGATTGAAATAGATGATAGATAGATAGATAGATAGATAGATAGATAGATAGACAATTAGATGATGGATAAATAGATGTAGATAGATGATAGACTATATATAGTCATGTGAAAAGGGGCTTGTCACCTTTTAAGATTCACATGATGAAAATAATGTACAGTAACTGCAGGCAACTGTCGAATATATCCCCAGTCTTCAAGTTATACCTGTGTTGAAGAGCTTTCTAATTATATTAGGGATTTTAAGGCCCTTGTCTTATGATGTTGCTTCTGTGTTAGGAGGAATATTACTAAAATGACTGTCATCCCAACTGAATATTGGACACAGGAAGGTGAGAAGCAGGAGGGATAGAAGAGGAAGAAATCTTTTTCAAATCTGTCATTAAATATATGGTCTGCCATCTAACATGAAATAAGACAAGTTTTGGATTTCCCCTTTTTTACCTTTAAAAGTGCATTTTTAGACGTTCTTGCCCGGGCTGCAGTGGGAGGCCGCGATGAGGAAGATGGCGGACGGGAAGGTGGGAGAGGAGAAGCCTGAGAAGCCTCAGGGAGCCGGAGCTGCCCTAGGACCTGAAGAAGGAGCAGAAAAACCAGTGAAAACTAAGACTGTTTCTTCCAGTAATGGAGGGGAAAGTTCCAGTCGCAGCACTGAAAAGCGATCAGCTGAAGACAAAGCTGCAGACATCCCAACAAAGCCTAGAAAGATGTCCAAGTTTGGATTTGCCATAGGTAGTCAGACGGCAAGGAAAGCATCCGCCATCTCCATTAGACTCGGAGCAAGTCCTAAGGAAACAGTTCCAACTCTTGCTCCAAAAACTCTTTCGGTAGCAGCAGGTTTCAATGGAGATGAAGATAGTGAGCCAGAAGAAATGCCTCCAGAACCAAAGATGAGCATGAAGAATATTGGAAGGGACACACCAACATCAGCCGGACCAAACTCATTTAATAAAGGAAAGCATGGCTTTTCTGATAGCCAGAAGCTGTGGGAGCAAAATATAAAATCTCATCTTGGAAACGTCCATGACCAAGACAATTAAGTGAAATGTTCTGAGATTGGGGTGTGGGTGGGTGCAGTTAGAAGGAGCCGTCTCTTTTTTGTAAAGAATGGTGTAAATGGTGTAAAGAATAGCTTTGGAGCCGTTTTCCTTCTTCTTTTTTTCTTTTCCTTTTTTTCTTTTTTTAAATATTGAGTGGTACACTAATAAATGAGAGTTTGCAACTAGAGGTAGTTTATGTTTTATATGCAGATTTCAAGACATTTGCTAATTTTGTAGTTTCACATGATTAGTTTCCAAGGGTTACAGATAATAAAGAAATCAGAAGTGGTACCTTTCTAAGAATTGCATATTTTGTTAGATACAACTATTAGCACATTAAGAGGGAAGCCAAAAGTTACTGTCTCTGACTCTCCCCTCATAACCTGAGTATCTGGCTCCCTGGAACAGCCTTACCAAGAGGGAGTATTGGATTGTTACTGGACAATTGACTGAGAGTAAATTTAGATAAGGTTAGAATGAATCTTTTCCTATGGGCATTTCATTTTGTTCTGGGCCATTATATGCTAGTACTGCTTCGCTTGCAGTGGGTACAGACGCTTTGTTCTGTAAATATTTTTTTTGTTGTTGTTAAAAATTCTTATATGCAATATTGAGTATTATAATTAGCCAACTTCAATGGAGCTTGTCTCTGTTCAGGGTTCTTCAAAGGACACTATTTGCTACCAAAATAAATCAGTATTTTGAATGTGCTTTTCTTGGTTTCTATTCTAGTTCCTATAAGCATTTCCACCAGAACTTGAGGCAAAACATAAGGAAGCTGTTTCTTTTAAAGTACAAACACCACCAAAAGTATCAGTGTACTTACTGCTTTAAGTATTTGGCTGGCTTTTATTGTTTAAAAGGTTTAAATACCAAAAGAAAAAGTGGTATAACATTGTATGAAGACAGATGAGGCAACACACCTTCTGTGACTTTTGAAGCATTTAAGTTACTAACTTACTAGAAGATTTCTTATTTGTACAACTGCATGGCTTATTTTAAGTGTATACATACTGGACAGTGGTTTCAAAAGCACATTTAGCGACTGAGATGGGACAGAAATGCTTCTTTAGACACATGTTCATTGTGAGTCTCTCACCCCCCAGGCTCTTAGAGTTCTGTATGTAGGATGTCTGTTCTGTATTTTTGTATTATATATGGGCTTTTTAAATGTGACAGTTAAATCCATCTTTAATAGTCACAGACAAAAGAAATGATAAAATGTCCTTGAAAATTAGAATGTTAAATTTGGAGGCAGCTTTGGTGAGTTTCATGGGTCGTGATAATTCACTAGGCAGTTTTAATCTAATGACTTCCAAGAACCAGCCTGGGGATATTCCTAACACTTCATTCACTACATTTTAGTTTACTTAATAAGCCCCAAGTAAAACGATGGAATGTACATAGCACTATTAGTTCATACATGATTAAGTATATCAAGATACATAAATTTAACTTTTATGTCTGCAAACTGTCCATTTGTCCATTTTACTGTTTGTTGAAATAACACCTCTCTTACATATTCTTTACTTGACTCAAATAACATTTAACCTGAGGTCTAGAAGGAGACAGATGACTGAGCTGAATGTCTTTACTAAAATTACAATAAATTTTGTCAAACTTGAAAAAAAAGTGCATTTTTAAAAATCCAAATGATCTTTAAAAGAGAAATGATTAAAAGCACAATTTATTTTTATTAAGACCAAATATATATTGAATGCCTAATCCCACATATTATTTAAAGTATTTAAGTATATTATGGAACAAAATGCACTAGAACTATGTATTTTAGTAGCTCTGATTTTAACTGGCAAGAAAGAGGCTGTAGAAGAACACAGACTGCAAACAACAGACAAGAACAAATCTGTTACACTTTGCTAGGTGAGAATCAGAATGAAAGGGGACTGTCAGTAGCAGGAGGGCCAGACAGTGCTCCCAACTGCCACTTCCAGTAACTAGAAGAGGTTTTTTTCTCCTTAAAGACCTCAGTTCAGGCAAAAATCAAGATTTCTGGCTTTAATACAGAATGGAATTTCACAATGACCCAGGAAAAAGTTGAAGTTTGGTTTATTAAAAACATTTCTTAATTTCACTGGTGAAGAGAAAGAAACTGATAGAAATAATATGGGCATCTCAAGGAAAAGTTGCACTTGGGTATATTTACAATTGTTTTTTTTTGTCTCTTTTGTTTGTTTGTCTTCAGTTACTTTGTAAGTTACATTGTTTAAAGAATGTAATTCAGTACAAGGGATTTTCTTTAGTAAACAATATTGAAAGGTGGAAACATGAAGGATATTCTTAGAATTTAGCAATAAGAGGTACTTTCTGGAATCTAAAAGTTATGAATCTTTTTGGCTTAAGGAGTCACAATTCATTTATTGTTTTTGAGGTTTTTGTTTGAGAATATCTTAGGGAAGTATGGACTGTCTCATTTGGCACTTTGGACTATATAACTGTCATCTAAAGTTTCTTATTTTGCCTACAGGGGATGTAAACCAGGCATTGGTATGAACAGCCTTTTTTTTTTCCTTATTGTGCTTTCTGTTCAGTGTTCCAATAATTTTTCCCATTCTACCCCAGGGCATCAACATTAAATCATGGGTAATGCATTGGTTTACAGATCCAAACTGAAAATTGTACCACAAATATTCTCATAACCCATTATCTTACTCTAAGGTCACCTTTATTATTCCATCATATTTCTAGGATTCAAATATAATCTATATGCAAACAGAACTAAAATTATAATGCCCATTCTAGGGCTTGGTGATAGCCTAAACATGCCCACCCTTACTGCCTTTTTAGTATTTCCATTTGAACATCTAAGTGGTATTTCTAATTCATATCCAGAGCTGGGCCTGTCTATTACCCCTGATCATACTCTCTCTCTAAGTTCTATTAATAGAAGCTCTATTATTTTTATCATTAAAAGCAGCACTGATATTTTTCTTAATTTCTTCTAGTATCCCCTTACCTGATCTAATATTAAATCCAGTGAACTGTCCCTCCAAACCTCACTGATGCCATCCTTATTCTCTGTGACCCAAGATATGTTATGTCATTTGGTTTTACTATTTCAGATAGTAATTTGATTACCATAATTATCCTTCAAAAAAATATTCTCATCCTCAACGTTGTCTGTCTGTACCACTGTAATTTAAGTAGTTGAGTTATTTCTAAGTTAGTCATTATTCCTACTAAGGGAAAATTCCTTCATAGCAGACTCACAGTCTCACTCTTTATCAAGATCCAGAGTCTCATTCTGGACCAGGGCTGCCTTGGACCTGTGCCCCCGTTTATTTTTCTCCCTAACCTTACTGGTTAATCCTTTTGATCTCACTCATCTTTCTCCAAACACTAAGCTCTCCTTTGGAGATCTGATATGTTTTAGGTGAAAGCTTTCCCCTGTGTTTAATACTTACTTGCCTTTTGCTCTATTAAGCATCTTGTCTCCTTCCTCAATTATTGTCACCCTTGACATGAGCCTCCTGTGAATAGCCTGTATCACTTGTAGATATCACCAACCAATACTCCTACTTTCATTTTCTCCAGAACATGTGTAGTCATCTGAATTCTTAGATATTTTATTTAAATGTTATTTTAAAGAACTTGCAAATCAAAATTATTGGTCAGAAAAATTAACGATACAGAAAATCTATACATCTGATGAATAGTTAGAATAACCTTTCCGAAGCTTTGGAGTTTCACATTGGATTTTATACCTTCACTAGAAAATATATTTTTATATATTTATCTGCTCAAGTCCAGCTTCTTACATAGGAAGTAGTAATTTGAACAGAAACCCTCATGATCACCCAGGAAGCAGTCTTACTCAAATTCAGTTTTCAGCACACACATTGGTATGACTCTAGCTATAAGGGGTTAACAGCCTTCCTTTAACCTCCTTATAAACATATACTGGTGCACATAAACACCTCCTTATACATACATGCTCATAATTAAAGTCAACTAAAAAAATAAATGCTGAGCCATGCTCTCATTTTAAATAAATATTCTATTTAACTACTATTTACATAAAGAGAAGTATAATAACTATAAGTATAGTATCTAAACAATTTCTGCAATTAAACATGCCTGTGTTGTCAGCATTCAGATCAAGATGTCAGTATAATGAGCATCTCAATAGAGTGCTGAATTATGGTTGTCTATGCAAGCATCACAGTTTACAGGGATTAACAGCCTTCATTTAGCCTCTTTAGAAATACGTACTCATGCACAGAAAATACAGGGATTACAGCTTAACTGTCTGTGTTAGAGAAGAAGAAATACATGGTTATGCCTGACTGTGTTGGATGAAAATTTCTGGAGTCTGACCCCAAGTGGTTTAATGTAGATATAGTTAAAAAACAGTAGAACTAGGAAAAAAATGTTTCCTGTTCTAATAAATCTCTGTTGGACAGAGAGGAATTCAAGCATTCTAAGAAAACTCTCTAAAGATAGCCATGTTCCAGCATCTTTCTTTTTCTATATATGGCTGAATCTTGAGAAAGATACAAATGATTGACAAAATGTTTTAATCTGAGTATTAAGTCTTTGTTGCCTTAATCTTAATAGAGGTTGTCTCATATATTCATTGAGATATCAAGAGTCAAATATTGTACCAGGAGAATGGGATATGCAGATTACAACCATTTGTAGCTTGGCTTGAGTTAAAGATTCTCTCTAGTTATTTATATCTTGCTTTCTGAATTTTCAGATTTTATTCTCCTATGTAGTAGCACTTTCTACTGAAGTGTGAATATAAAATGCACTTGAAGTACTGATTTTAATACCCACCAGATCCATTTATTTCCTGCTGGAAACATTGGATATGTTCATATATTAAGTTTTATTCTTAAAGAAATATCTCTGCTACAATACATAATTATTGGAAAGTGATTAGTCTGAATAAAGTAACACAATGATTTAAGTATGTCCTACTTTTTCTCATCATCACACTAGTTTCAATATGTTAGAGAATTGATCAAGAGATCTTATTT